AGCCTGCGACCCCGTCCCGTGCGGGGGCCGCTTCCCCAGCCCGCGGCAGGACGCCGAGGGGCCCCGGCAGAGCCCAAAGGCTCGCGGCTTCCTCCGGGGATGGCTCTCGCCTTGCTCCTACCTGCATCCTCCTGGCCGGGCTCTGGAGCTGCGGCTTCCCCCCACCACCTTAGTCGGACGCAAGGAGCTTTAAACAGGGGGACGGGGAAGGAAAGGATAGATCCACAACGGTGCTGGTTCAAACCGAAATGTCTTTCCTCCAGTCCATCTTTGAACGAGAAGTGGTAATACCACCTGGATGCTCAGATATAAATCCCCTTGCAAATAATAAATGGATTAATAATAACAAGGTATGAAGTTCTTTTTATAGAAAAAAGGAGAGAATTGAAACTAAATGCGGCAGTTAGACAACCATTTTGATAAGAGGATAATTGAGGCGACACTGGTGTATAATTAGAGGATAATTTATGCTATATCCACTTTTATTCCACCTCCCAAAATAAACCCAGTCCATAATCATTACAGGCAAATTGTTCTGAATTTTATAGCAGCAATTTGAACAAAGTACTGCAGTTAATCATGGGAGATTTTTGTGTATTCCTGATTAGAAGTCTAATTGCCTCCTTCCAGAAAGTAAAAATAACTGTAAAACGACTCTATTTTTATCATTAACAATGTTGACAATAAAATAAAATCAACTGGAATTGTAATCTAAAGACAAATTTAGGACGAAGGCACTTTTACTTGGGTAGTTTATATTGTAATCAAGATTTGCCAAACCACTAACCGCATGTGTCATTTGCATATATTTGAAAGCATTACAGTAGCTTCTGTTTTCAATAGGAAAAAATGCATTACTGTCAGATCTCCAAGGATTCGCTCTCTGAAGAGGCTCCTGCCCTTTCTAAAATATAGAAAATATTGTCTTTTTTTTTCAGCAAGGAGACAGGCTGGCACCGTTTTCTGGGGGGGGGGGGTTCACTTTCAGAATCCCTTTCAACCTACGTGTATTTACTGCGTGCTTGGAAATGCAGTAAAGGGGAAACTCTGGGGTGTGAGGCACACGGATCCACTAAAGCACACCTTCAGTAGATGGGCTGCTGCACTTGGATGGATTGGATGCATTGGCTTCAAATGCACATGACACAGGCACAAATGCCCCAGCCCTCCAGAAAGTGACAGCGTGCAAAAAATAAAAATGCATCCTTTTTTTTTTGCCTCATCTATGGTTGGGAAGAGGCTCATTGTGAGGATGCCTTGTATTTGCAAGAGGGTGCTGCTGTCTGGTGAGGAGGCTTCCGAGAGCAGAGCTGTGCTGCAGCACCAGGCGCGCGCGCACAAGACACACACACGCGCGCGCGCGCACGCACACACACACACACACACACACGCACACACACACACACGCGGGCAGGGCGCGCGCGGCTCTCGCTGGGATTCGAGTTGCCGAAGGTGGGCTAAGCTCGAGCTCGCACAGACGCCAGTAGAAGCTCCGGGGTGGTGACGTCAGGGGTTGACTGACCAATGGGGAGGCGCTGCCCTTTGGAGACAAACCATTCGACTTGTGGCGTCTCTGCCTCAAGTCTAAAAGCAGAAGCTCAACTTTACCAGAATCCACCTTAAAATCTCTGCCTTAAACTCCGCCAGCCAAAAAAACAAGTTGGGAATGAAGGGGAAGAGGAGAGAAAACCCCCCTCAGGAATAGTCGCCCCCCACACACCCCTCCCCTTCTCCCCTCCCTCAGTGAACAAGGCCCCTCTCACTAGTGCTCTGGAAAAAAAAAAGAGAGAGAGAAAGAAAGAAAGAAAGAAAGAAAGAAAGAAAGAAAGAAAAGGGAGAAAAAAAAAAAGGAGCCACCTCACTAATTCCCCGTGCAGGATAATAGGCTCTAAGGTGGCTGGTGAGAGAGGGAGCGAGAGGGGGGTGAGCCTGAGGGAGCCGCTCTCTCACTCCCAAACTTTGATGATGACCATGACTACGATGGCACTGAAGAGTGAAACAGTCGAGTTTCACCAGGATAATCTCTGGGACACCTGTCCTAGGTTCCCCT